AAACCCTACATGATTTTCATATGCCTTTCTAATACTACCCATCTTTGGAGCTGTACGGCAAATCAATATGGTTTACTGGATTAGCTTATAAATGTTAAACAACTGAAATGAAGATAAATGATAAGATGACGTTCAGTAAAGATGAGTGCAAAGTATTACACTTAGGAAGGAAAAATCAAATGCACAACTGTAAAATGGGGAGCGACTGGCTATGGAAAAGGAACTGGGGGGTATAGTGGAGTACAAATTGAATATCAGTCAACAATGTAGTGCAGCTGAAAAAAAACCCAAATGCCATTCTGGGGTGTATTAACAGGAGTGTCAGATGTAAGATACAGAGTAGTTGTTAGGCTCTATTCAGCACTGGTGAGGCTGAAGTACTGTGTCCAATTCTGGGCACCATAGTTTAAGCAAGATATGAACAAACTGGAGTGAGTCCAGAAGAGAGCAACAAAAATGATAAGAGATTTTGGAAAACATGGCCTATGAAGAGAGGCTAAAAGCACTAGGCATGTTTAGTCTTGAGAAGAGAAGGCTGAAGGAGGACATAAGAGTCTTCAAATATATACAAGATTTTCATAAAGAGGATCGTGATCAACTGTTCTCCATGTCGCTGAGGATAGGGAAAAGTAAGCAGCTTAGTTTGCAGCAAGGGAGATTCGAGTTAGATATTAGAAAAAGCTTTTAGACTGTAGGGTATAGTTAAGCACTGGAGTAGGCTTCCAGTGGAGGCTGTAGAATCCTCATCATTGGAGGCTTTTAAGAACAGGTTAGACAAGCACCAGTCAGGGATGGTCTAGGTATACTTAATCCTGACTCAGCATGGGGGGATGGACTAGACCAACGTTTCTCAACCTTTTTGATACCAGGCACTGGCTTGCTACTTTCCTAAACTGTGGCAGGGAGATTTCAGGGACTGGCGCTGGTCCACGGACTGGTTGTTGAGAAACACTGGACTAGATGACCTCTTGAACTTCCTTCCAGTCCTATATTTCTATGGTTCTGTGGAAATTAGAAATATTAGTCTAAATTTTCAAAAGTGACTAGTGATTTTGGGTGTCCAACTTGAGATACTTTAAAGGGGCCTGATTTTCAGAAAGTGCTAAAACCTCAACATCTAAAAATCATTCCACTTTAAGGTGGCTCAGGGAACCCAAAACTTTTGGCACCAAACCAATTAGGCACTTTTTTGAAATGTTGGCAACAGTTGAAATGTTGATATGTATACACATATGCACACTGGGTGAAGAGGGATGAAATGCTCATGTTCATACCTACAAAGAAAAACAACTTTGAACGTAATTAGTTTAAGAATTTTAGGTGCTAGTTGGTGTGATCAGGGCAAAATGAAGCTTGATATTATAATACAGGATGAGGTCCCAAAGGGTAATACAGTGACAATGAAGTTGAAGAGCGAATATTTAAAAGCTGTGAAAAGAATTAGGTCACCAAGCTTTTTATGTCTGAGTAATATTCCCATAAACTATCCAAAACAAAATATTTCATAATTTGTATGTCTCTCTCTCTCTCATGTATTATGTAGGAACTATGAAGACCGATAAGCAGAAAGCATGAGTATGAAACTTGGGAAATATGATTTTGTTATCTTCTAGATTCTATTTTCAAGCATACATTCTGTGTATTTTCCCCATACACTGAGTGTACAGAGCAAAACACTGTAAAGATAAGGTTTAGAGATATGCTAATTGCTTCCATATAAAGCAGAACATGACTAAGAGCTGAAAGGATATTGAACTAAAAGCCTGCAAATCTCTGGTAGTTTCCTGCCATACGGGGAAATGCTTGCTCATAAACATAGATGGCTTTGTGAATTTATATGGTCAGATAGCCATATTTTCAAAATGCTATTTTTGACTGCTTGGTCCTTTGGAAATAGGTTGATTTTATTTTTGGATGTTCAGAGCCATATGTCACAGAAACCTGACAACATCTTTCGTGAAGATCTGCCCTATGCCATTACAGTTGAGAAAAAGGAGGGGAATTTCTAATCTCCTTTTTTGGGTGAAAGACAAATTTCATGTCCAAGCAGATCTGAGAGCAATGTATACATTGTTTCCTTAGCAAATCACACAGATCTAAAACATATCCTTCATGTGACTGCTCAAGTAATTTCACAAATACTGGTGTTAGAGTAAATTAAAATGCTATAAGGACTTTTCATTTACTACAGTGGACTTTAGATTAGGCCCTACATTTCTTACACAGATGCATTTAAAACATTGCTGTGGTAATGCATAATATAGGAAAATCTGTCGAGAAACTGAATCCACGTTACCATTCCAGGACATTTTTAAAAATGGCAGTCTAGAAATTATGCATACAAACTCAGTTAATTCTTTGGAGGCTGGCTATGTGTTGTATATAGATCCACTTAAATATTCACTTATGCATTTATGGCTGTCTGGAAAATGCCGGAGTTCTAAGAATTAATAATTGAAAGGATTTGAGAACACAAATCCAGAGCACTGGTTGGAAAACTGACACTCTTTCTATACAGTAATGAAAAATATATTACTTTCCTCTCTAGTGATTTGAGACTGAAACTGGAATCTATCAGTGATACTGCAAACAAACACTTTATTGCACAACATATACAACTAATTCTCACTCTGTTTCTGAACAATAACAAAAAGAACCAGTTTCAGAGTGAATTGAGAGCTAGTAAGTAGTCTACTCAAGATGATACAGATAGGTTCCATCTGGTTTAAAGAAAATTAAAGGCTAGGAAACATTAAAAATTATTTTCCCCCTAATTTTCAGCTTCTAATAATGTTAATTTCCCCCAGAGTATTGAACAGACACAAGGGTGATATTGCGTACAAAACAAAACGAACTTCACAGGGACAGCAAACTAAACACCCAAACAGGTACTGAAGCATCTGTAAACAAATGTTTGCACCCGTGTCCCTTTAACACACAGGGAAACTTTCTTACAGCTATGAATTTCCTGTTTTATTTGGGAACCAAGTACACCCTTGGGAGGAGATCAGAGGTTTTCGCATTAGAACGCCATTCTAGACACCATGGGAGAGCATCAGTCCAGTCAAACCAGAGAAAGATTAAGCTGTTAAAACACCCCACAAAACTGAGAGTTAAGGGGTTTCTATTAGCAATTCTGCCACAGGAAGTAGGTCCCGTGCCTTAGTTGCCACATCTGAAAAACAGACATTATAATATTTACCTAAATTAGAGGGTGTTGTGCAGCCTAATTCATTAATGTTTGCAAAGCACCTTCAAAGATCCTAGGCTACAAGATGATAAAGAAATGCAGAATGTTATTTATTATTATTATAAATGAAGAGAGAGAGGTTGAATCAGTTTCAGATTTTTTCCTCTGTCTGCACAGCTCTCTATGTCTGCCCTCCTTTCTTCTTGCCCAGATAGCCCCTTTTGCAAGCCCGGTCTTCTCCCACATGTAGTGATGGATGGAATGGGTTACCTAGGGAGGTGGTGGAATCTCCTTCCTTAGAGGTTTTTCAGGTCAGGCTTGACAAAGCCTTGGCTGGGATGATTTAGTTGGGGATTGGTCCTGCTTTGAGTAGGGGGTTGGACTAGATGACCTCCTGAGGTCCCTTCCAACCCTGATATTCTGTGATTCTGTGATGGTTTCAAGAATTATCAATAGTGTCGGATTTTTCCTGAATTCTCCGTGTTCAAACACCCTGGAATAAATTAGGAGTACTCTTTAACCCACAATATGTATTGCCTAGTGGGTCTTCTTTAGCTCCTCACTGAAGCACCTAAGGTGGGAGAGTGCAATACAGAAAATGTACCCTTTTCATAAACTGGTTATGAAGAACACCAGACTTTCACCAATTTAACACGAAAAGCTAATTTGTATAACACCCAAGAGTAACTGCTACTTAAAGAGCACATACTAATCTGGTGCAATTCAGCTTTTGATGTCCCATAGACAGAAAGTAACTGGTAAAATGCAAACTCAGAATTTCAATTGTTTTCTGTTCTTCTGATGCATAATTTTGATCGTAACAATGGTCAGCCAAAAACTGTATTTTACCTTTTCCTATTCAACTTGCATGTGTGAGTCTGTCTGTGCGTCTTTTCCAGACAAATAATAATGCCATTATGTCTACTTGATGTCAAACGTTCAAATCAGTGTCTCCTGAGCATTTGGGCATGAAAACTGAGTAGTTAGATGTACAATTGCCAAATGTGTAACAGAAATGGGATGGGCAAAAACTGCGTATAAGCAGTATCAGAAGCAGCATTTGAATATTTGGCCTTACTGTAGCTACTTAGCTGTTATCAGACTGGCTTCTTCAGCATCATCATGTGCATTACTTTACTAGAGGGAATAATTCAAATTGAGACTGAACTGTCATAGCTGCTGCATCTTTGGTGGTGAATTTATGGATGGTCAGATTTTCTGGGCAGTGAAAGATCTGCCAAATCTTGACTAAGATAGGGTTGCCACCTTTCTAAGGGCTGGTAACTGTACCCCCAGACCACGCACCTGCTCTGCTTCTTTCCCAGGCCCTGCCCCCTTCTCTGCCTCTTCCTCCCCAGATCACAAAAGCCAAACATCAGGGCTCGTCAAGTGGCGCCTGGACACACAAGCCGAAAACCGGACGGGTGGCAACCCCCTAGACTAACCCTAACTGTCGGATTTAGATTTTCAGCAAGAAAAAAAGATGCATAAAAGGTTTCGGATGGAGACAATCAATGTGATTGTGCATGCGTTTGGTAAATGGAACGAGGAAGGAAATGACCATTAACTTGGAACTGCTTTCTCGGATGCTAATAATCCATGCAAGATACTGTGTTTCCCTTCCCGTCCCCTCACCCTCTCCCCACTGTATTTTTATCATTGCATATTATGAGAAACATCGATGTGGCAAAGAACCCAACTTATTCCTGTGCAGTTTCTTAATAAAGTTTCTTGACCGTGATCTGAATTTGGATAATATGTATCAATTAGCATATTCAGCTAGTCACCTGATCAGCCAATGCCCTCTTACCTGTTCTATCCTCCTTAGCAATTCCTTCTTTTGTCGCTCCCACTCTCGCCGGTCTCTGTCCAATCTATCCTGAAGTTCCGTCTTTTCCCTGTTCCAATTCTTCTCACTGTGCTGGAGTTGCCATCGTAGGTCCATCACCAAGCTGTGACTGTCAGCCAGCAATTTCTTGTGCTCCTCTCTCTCCCTCTTAAAAGCTCCCTTTGAATCAGTGGTCAGGACAGTTTCCCCCTGGGCTTTTTCATTCTTCCCTTCCAGCTGCCAATAAAATGAGAAGCTGTTAGTTATTCTTATTTCCCAGGTAAAGCTTGTGCTAGACAAAGAATGTAATTATAAAGTGATACTGTTAATGTTTTCACACCCAAAGTATCACTAACCTTAAAATGCAGTTTTGCTTAGGAAAAGTAATGAAAATAATGGTACTGTGAGGACTCCTTGTTTTTAATGTTAACAGTTTCCAGATCCAGTCTGTTCAGTTTACCAATAAAAAGATAATTTTCCTAAATGCCAGTTCTGCAAACCCATCCTGGGATCTGACAGTCACACTGGCTCTTTCTGGCTTGTGCATATCACTGGCAATAAAGGTAACACAGGGCCTAATTCTGACTTCATCACAATACCTGTGTAAGCACAATGGGCCGGTCCTCAGCTATGCTTGGGCGGCTTTGCAAGGCTGCATCAGTGCAAAGCAGCCCCTAAAGCCACTGGATTTGTCCCCTGGGAGTCCCTCTGTACAAAGTCATCTTGAGGTAGCACACAGAGGCTCTTATCCCACCCTTACTCATGGCTCCTGGTGAAGGGGAAAGCATCAGGACAAAAGGGTGTAGCTGGGGCATCCCCAGGCCTCAGTAATCTCTGGCATTTGGAGTGATCCTTTGAGCAGCCTTTAAACTAGGACTGGGGTCTTACTTTCAGTCTGCCCCACTAAAAGTTACCTAACACTGCCTCCCTCCGCTCTCCTTCAGTTTGTGCTGAAGACAGCTTAGCTGGACCAGAGGATCTGGCCCATTGTGTTCTATTGGGTTTCTATGCATGTAATGAAGGGAAGAATTTGGCCCTGAAACTGGAACTTCATTAACAACTCTGTCAATGATGTGTGAACCAGAATCGATTCAGGCGCTTCTCCCTTGGATCTGCAGGCAAACAGGAGTAAAAATAAGTGAAAACTCATTTTTGTCTCTAAAGCAAGAAACAATTACTCTGAATACACACAGGAGACCTATCTGTTGGGAAAAGCACACCTTCTGTGAAAGAAGACAACAACACTTTAAAACAGTTATTCCTGGGAAATATGTGCAGTTCGAAATACCTGTCTGAGCAACAGGAAATGCATGCTGAATCTCAGGGTAAGTTGCCCAACAGTGATGCCTAAAGACTATGAAACAGTCTCCCAAAGGGAATGGTGGAAATCCCATCCCTTGAGTAATTTAAAACTGTACTACTGTGAGCTCTAGGGAACAATCCTGCATTGGACACTGGGAGTGACAAATAGACCTAATCGATCTCTTCTACCTTTCACTTCTCTGATCCTCTTATTTAAAAAGCAAACACACAAATAGCTAATCTTAGCAATGTCCACGATAAACAATGTGTCCCACTGCCTAGGCTGTCTCTGCAGCAGTTAGCTAACAAGTACTGTATTATTTCTAGCCCTGTGCTGACAACATCTGATGATACTGTGCCCAGACACACATGTATCGGGATCTTACAGACACTGGGTCTTTTTTTACACCCATTTATACCTGTGAAAGCCTACTGAATTGAGGTCTGACTACAAAGGGATCACACTGGCAGAATTTACCTCAATAAGCTGAAGTTGTTGATGAACAACCAGAAACACAGGTGCCAGGTTTAGCTCTCTTCAACATAGGAGAAAAAGTAATGTTTGCCAAATGAAAAAATTAAAACAGAAAGGGTAGAAATGTCAAACTTCTAAGAGGGGGTTCCTAAAAACAGAGAGTAAAACAATAAAGCTGAAATTTCAAAAGCCCTCAGCATTTGTCTAACTTGGCTCTTACTGGTCAATGATCAAACTTCCCTTGACTTGAATGGGACCAGAGTTAGGGTACGTTTACACCGGAGCTGAAAGGTGTAATTCTCAGCTCAAAGAGACATACCTGTGCTTTCTCTGATTGAGCTATTATGCTAAAT